AGTTAACGTGGTCTGTCTATCTCTAAAGGTCGTTCATCTGAGCGGTTCATTCAATAACTTCTTTCAGTCAGCAACTCGTTGACTCACCGTCCAATGTAGGTGGAACCCCGACACGAGCATTTAACGTGAAGAATATAATCACACACTCCCCTTTTATGGGGAAACCTTATCGAAAGAGCGACAGGCCTCCGAAAGGCATTGTGCGATAGTATTCTCTTGGCGTTCATAGAAAAGCCACGATCCGAGAAAGGTCATTGCCTAGGCGAAGTGCAGTGATTTTGACGGGTTAGAAACCGAAATGTGTCTTCACTATTACGTAGACCGATGAAATAAACTAGCCATCGGAGTGAAACGTTCAGCGTGTCTTTTAAAACACAGTAGTTACTTTGTCCCGGATGCAAAACAATACCTGGTTGTTGGTTGGTCCAGCAATTTTTCAACTGATCATCCATACTAACGTATGGTTTATTCGAATATTTTTCGGAAATCTCAATTAAACAATGAATAGTTGAGCGGATTTCAGAAAACTTGCCTAATAAACAAGTGCTTTCCGGTTATCAATTGGGAGGCCAGTATCTTTGTATTTGAATAGTTCTAATAGGTTCATTCAGAATACAGGATATACAATCTGTGGTCTCTAGTCGGGATCAGAAACGATAATATTCTTTTTGGAAACATGCATGAAAAAGCACGAAAAATACCGTGTTTCGTTCGCCATGGCAAGAAGTTTTCACTTGGTTTGTGTTCAAGATGTATCCCTTTCAATGCAGTATGATTTTTCGCATAATTTCCTTTTCTAGCCATAAACAGATTGACCTTTATTATCATCAAAGTGTGGATGTAGTGTTAGGTTGGTATTGTGTACTCAGTCTTTATGGGTTTGTACCTTGACCGGCAAACTTCACGGTGAAAACCTGGTTTACATAACGATTATGTTGATACAATCCAGCCAGCGAGAATTCGTGCGTATCCATGGTGATCTGATATACCTTAAACAATGGTGGACTGAGTTGTTAGTCTTAATTCTCAACAGGATGGTTTGTTTCACTCGCCTCCAGCAACCAATATATTTTGTATGGCACATTTCGCCGTGGAAAGAGCAAATGAAATCTGAACTGTGAAAAAACTGGGATGCAGTGGACAGTTGTTTCGACCTAGTTGGGTGTCATCAGCAGTGCGAATCCATCCATCCAACTGGAGTTCGAACCCGGGACCTCACAAGTAGAAAACAAGTGTAGCACCCACTCGACCACCGGGCAGTGAATCAGACTGTTTTCATGTTACCAGTTCACGATGTATCTGAGATGGAAATAGAATAGCTGTTTTGTAATTCCAAGGTTCTTCAGTCAATCTAACGTTACGTAAAATACAAGCTTCCAAATTCGACTCGTTCATTTAAACACTCCAGTGAGGATAATGCGATAAGTAAATCATCCCAGTCCACACCCATCCCATACTCACCAGCGAATATTTTTCTTCTTGCTCCACCTTGACCATGTATCCATTATTATGTGATCTTGTGTAAAGGACACAACATTTCCAATATATGTTGATTGCTACGATATATAGATACGAATATTTGCCCTTTGTTTAAAAACCAGAAATGGGTAGAAATGAATCAGATCGCCTACGCTAAAAATGATTCCTCAACTACATAGAAAATAAAATAAAAGGGAGAAGAAAATGGTGACCCAATTGATTGGAGTGTCAGACGATGGGGTTTCTCAAATAGGCTCTGAATAGAGCAAACCCCCTGTTCAGCGTTTGTTTAAACATGGACCACATAAAACAGTGTCCGTTGTGCCTTCTTCTGAAGTCCCCACGATGTTTTGGTGAGCAAAGCACTGACAGGCGTGCTGTTCCCTCCCCTCTCCACGGGTTGGTTGTTTGCACCTATAAATTTCCGCCTCTGCGTAGTTAGTGTCTGTGCCCCCTGATGTACATCAGACCTTCGACGATGAAATGCTGAGTCGATTCAGGTCAGTGTTTTGTGTGAACAGCTGCATTGTGCCATTGCATCGAAATAAAGGGATGGCAGGCTCATGTGATTCTTGTGTGCATGTTACAAACATATTTTCGCTGTACCTTTATTCCCTCTCCTGACGCGGCCCAGTCTGCACTGAATTCTCGCGCAGTCCTACGACCATTTCCCGCAATAGTAGGCCCGAATTAAGGCACTCTCTTAACGCATCCTGTCGGTTGTCATGAGGCGACGGAAGTTGTTTAGCAAATGTAAAATTCTGTCGATAATCCAGGTATCCATAGTTTTTCTTCTGAAGCCATGATGATTCTGCTTACAAATCGCGAGACCGCGAGTTCACTTATGAGTAACGAGTTGTAACAGCGCAACCGGTTTCCTACTACAGCCTCGCACAGTGCAAAAAAGTGAGGAGAACTTCACTGATCGCAACCAAATTGCAGAATTGTAATGTTCCAAATACGGATGTGTCGCTTTATAGTTTTCCTTTAGTTTCATCCATCTGGGCAAAGTAAATTGGTAAATGATCGAGACAAAAAACCCAACCAGGGTTGTATTTCTTGCAACCGGCTTCGTTCAGCTGCTTATGCGTTTCAAACCATTAATCGTAAAACAAACCCGTGCAACATAGTGCAATCACAACCTTGACGTAAAGTGTCACACAACTCAGCGATCCCCATTTCACACTACAGATGAATGTGGCTTGTGTTCGGTGGCAAACATGCGAGATCTGACACGACATCAACCAGGTTTACTCACGTGACCGTGGCAAGTTCCACCCATAACCGGAACCACATGTTTAGCGCATTTAAATGTTTCTGCACAATTTGTCCAATCCATGACGGAGTTATTGTATGGTTTACTGGTATGGACACTGGTATTGGACACTTCTTCCGGTTGGATGACTCCGACCAAACGCGTAAACGGACCGTAATCTGTCAATCAACACTTGTGTATGCATACCCAATATATCTGATCTATTTCTGCTCGTCTGAGAGCCTAAAAGCGTCGCTATCCTAATTTATTTTCCCAATTGAGTACAGGGGTGTGAGGAGTGGGAATAAAATTCAGCGGAGGATAAAGTGAGGCATGGAAGCTGTGGGTAGAAGATGGTCCTAATATGTGTCTATCCAAATGACCAGAATATGTCCGGTCTTGTAGGGCGCTGCATGCCTGACTGCTTCGTTGACCTCGAATGACCCGACTGAAACCTGAAGGAGGACAACGAATATGAGGGGACTAGCCTGACTGCTGAGGATGAATCAGCTCTCTTTCTCAGTCTACCAACAACACAATACATTGTCTGCTCTGAAACATGCTGATTGGGAGCATCCCTCTGTTCGCACGGCGACAGCTTTCCCGTTGTGATGTCGAGGATCCCTTCCTGCCTGTGTATGAATTGTGTTCCATGCTCATTTCATTTCATGTGGGTGAGCATACACATGTAGTTCCTCTGTCTGTCAACAAAGCTTAGCATTGTCCTTAGAATAGAATAATGAATATCCACACCTGATTGTGAGCAGTCTTTGGATCCTTGTTGGCACTACTGCTGTTACAGCTGGTTCCATGGTCCGGACAGGGGGCGAATCATGATACTTGCTCGTCTGTCCATTCGCCCATTTGTTTATCTGCCTCGCGTGATTTTGACTATGGACTTACCTCTTCTTCATGATGCATTTGCAAATCACAATCAAGTTGTTAGCCAGAAAGTAGCCAATTTCCTCCGTAAAAATTCATTCGACCAGTTGTTTGCTTACGAAACATGCACTGAGGTAATAAGAAACAGTAATGGTCATTTTTCAAAAGAGGGAGAAGTGGTCAGGTGTGAAGCCCACGCGTTGGATTCGCATTTTTCCTACAGTGGTAATCCAATTAGACGACACACGAAATTTTGTTTAGGGCTTTTATTCTGTTTTGTTAATGAATTTGGTCTCGCTTATTATCGAATCTCCCTAAGGAGAGAGACCTTATGTCAGCCTTTGACTAAAGTTTAAGGGCTCAGATTAACACGGGGACCCGGTTCGATTGAGTTATTACCGTTCAATGCACACTCAATTGCCTAGTGAACTAAATGTCTGAAATTCTTCAGACTTTCATATTAAATCTGATGAAATGCCATCCACACTACCCTATTTCCTGATCATTACTCAACTATTTCACACACTCCTACATCGACGAAATCTCTTTAGCAAAACTCGGAGATGCGTAGCTACGTCCCACACTTATCCTCTCTTTTAAGGTCTTTTAATTCACCAAGGCAATTAGATTACGGCGGGAATACAGATACGCATAAGGTATAAAGCAGTACCTTTAAGTGGTATGTATAAACAGGGAAAGAGAGCAACAACCGAAGCTTATAAATAAACTGCTGAAACATGTTCCTGGTCAAATTTTATTCTATCGGGGTTTATAATATTTGAAAAAAATTGTATGAGACCCAATGAGAATATAGGCAACAAAATGGACAGTGTGAATTTCATTGGTGTTGTTTGCTGAGCCTAGCCAGATACGGATAGCTTCTAAACAGAGAACATTTTTCATACAATACTTTTCGGAGAATTCAGACCCCAAGGCTGTACAGTCATAAAACTGTCCACTGGTATCGTTTTCCACCCTTTCTGTCCCTGGCCATGCCACTTGTTTTTCTAGGGTGATATTTCATGCTTATTTGGATTGTCCATGTAAGCTGCCATTATTGTTGTATTCCGGAACAGGTTGAAAAAATCATTTTTTTCCGCGTGTGAATTTATCTGCGTTGTCTGATCACCCACCCATCTTCGTCATCTCTCTGTCCCACAGTGGTTGGGATAGGATGCTGTTGGAAGTCAACCAAATGCGGGTTGCTTTTGCACTATACTTGTTAGAAGGTGTCCGGAAGAGAGTTAATGGCGATTCTCGAAGTGGACATCTCGCTGTGAAGTGGATAGAGTTGTCTGTGACTATCTTTCAAAAACAACTCATCAACTTATCGTTTCAATCAAGTTCGACTTCCACCTTTGCATCTGTATCTCTCCATTATCAGAATTCCGCTACCGTGCTGAACGAGACACACGTGAATCAAAGTCATGATTCCGAGGGACGATTAGATTTGATTCTGGACAACGTACAGGCCGCACAACATGGAGAAGTATACGTATGCGAGGCCAGAACAAGTTATCCTCTCGATGCAGCCCCGGCAAGGGCTGAATTCGTTCTGGACGTGGCCCGTAAGTGATTATGATATTTGTCCGCAATGAATCACGCTGCATGTTGATGCTTACTATGAATCGCGTAGGTTAATAGTAAGCCTTTTCTCCCAAAATTGAGAAGCTATAGTCTCTTGTTTGTCGGATCTCTCCTGCTGGCCATTTTATGCGTCCAACCAGTAGCTAGAAGTACGGAAGTTGGGTTTAAAGGTCAATTAATAACGATACTGTTGTAACAGTTCATTTTGATCGTGGAGAAATAAAATAAAATACTCAACCAATTTAACGAAGTCACAAGTAAGTATTTGAATCGTTGCATATAGTTCCCGTCGAAATTGCGATTCAGTGGCTTGGAGGAAATTGCCAACGGAATAGTGCTAAATGAAATATGAGGTAACAGGCTCCCAGGAAAACCCCCAGCAAAACGATTTACCAGTCTCAGTTTAAAACTACTCAACTCACCCCACCTAAACATGATTGACAGTCCTTGTGTGCAAATCGCACTGGACGGAAATATTGGATGACTTGAACACAGCTGATACAAAGGTATCATTTATAGTGTAGAGGAAAAATGAAAAAACATTGGTGCCTCCATCTCTTCGTAGATTACCTGACCCACATAACGGCCCAGTAAATGCAGAGTGAAAACTCCATTTCCGCAGCTTTATGCTACTTAAGGTGAAAAGAAAGTCAGTTGCATATCTTGCGAGAGGTAGAGACATTTGTAGTGAACGTACAATAGAAACAGACCACGTTGAAAAAGGAAAAGAATCATTTGGCCAATCAAACCGGTATGTAGCTCGGAGGAAGGAGTTTCGGTTCATTCCGAGGATCCGGTTGGGTTCAGTACCGCCAATTACATAAAAGGCGACGCATCACACTCACTTAGCCTGTTCGGCTGAAACAAAAACAAAATAAGTTCACTACTGACAGTGATTGCACAAATTGTTCGATGATAAACATCTGAGCAACAAATTCATCCCACCAAATAATACCCTATCTCTGAAACCTCAGATTTACACTTGTTTGCTCGATTTCACTAACAGCCACGAGCAGCAAAATCTTTGCTAAAGTGCGATTTCATTTTAAGGGTTTTGTTCATATTACTGGTCCGGAATAATTCACGTTTGGATATATTATTAATAAATAATGTAAATACTAATTAATTATAACGAATATTATATGCTTAGAAGTTAGTCGTATTTTGGTGAGATAACCCTCGATAGAAATAGTGGGACAGAATGTTGTATAATTTTAACCAGAATCTTTTTCAGTTATACTGCTTGGGGAAACGATAGGCTTTTGCCAATTCGACCCATTTTACTACAGTCACTATTCTCTTGGACAGCCCCTATGAATCGTTACATAGTTTTATGAACTTCGATTTACACCGTTAAAGGACTGGGCCACTTTACGGCAGTGAGAGTGAGAAAGCCTAACTACAATGTTTTTGACTTGAGGGAAATTCAAACTCGAATAAGAATTAGACACCATTTGATCAGATATGGGCTTCGATTACATCTCTATCTGTGTGGTGTCATCAGCTTTCCATCAGGTGATTGAAGAAATCTTTAGCGATATTTCTGATTAAGGCATATAAGAAGCGTGCTATTTAACCAAGTCGGATATTAAATGCAACCACGGAAAACTGGTTGCTTTCATATGAGTAGAGAGAGAGAAAGAGAGAGAGAGAGAGAGAGGAGACGAGACGAAACGAATTCTTGAACCAGGCAAATCAGTCCTTTCCTTCATGAGAGATACCACGGTAATACTACGAATAAGTACAAATAAGTACGAATAAGTCGAACTCACCCACACGTATCAGCTAGTCTGGTTATGAAAAGAATTCACGGCTTCATATATTTTACTTTCCCACCAATGAATGCTCACTTGCACCAAGTCAAACTACTGCATCATTCCGACCCACTCTTAACCTGAGAGTTGTGCTCATACGGAGTGGTAGGATGGACTTTTTAGAAGTCACTAATCAGTCTCCTGTTCTTCAATCACCCTCTCAAAACCAGCGGAACAGATGGATTACGTCCAATTGTGTTGAACGAATCCCCCAGTGGTCTGCCACATATCCAGTCCTGAATCTTCACCCGCTGCGTTTCCGAATGTTCAATACCGGATGGCCGTAAAACAGCCAGCATTATACCAATTCCTAATAAATGTTCAGATTAATTTCGTCCCGTTGCTTGTACTTTGATCATCATGAGGGTATGTGAGAGAATAATTTCATGCAAGTTGCTCCAATAGTTGATTGTAATCAACTGGCCTATTGTCGTAAATGGTCTGTTCTTGATACTCTTCCCAGCGCATTTTATTCTGTTGTCATTAGATAACAAATGCAAAGCTGCTTGAATGTGCTTCTTAGATTACAGTGACGCGTTTGGAAGTGTTGGTAGACTTCAGTTTCTGTCTATTCTGGCAAACCATGCAGTTCCTTCACCTACTATTGCCTGTCAAATGATTACTTTTCCTTTCGAAAACAGTTTGCATGCTACGGTGGTAAATTCATCTCAGCCTTAGCTTCTCAGTCAGAGAAACCGTATTGTCTCCTTTCTTCTTTTCTACTTGCTAAGCTCCCGTGCCTGTTTGCGAAGACTCTGTGCTGATGAAATACGCTGATGAAGTTATCTTTGATTTACGCTATTCCAACAGCTCTGTTTTCCCCACTTTCCAGCTTGATATCTCAAAGCTTAAAGAGTGATCTTCTGCACATAGCCTTTCCATGAACCAATCGCAATGTGTTGATGTTGTATTTTCTCTCCATAGGGATAAATTATATTCTGATTTTCTTGAGATGTGCCAGCCGCTATTTATTAACGATACATCTCTCAGTCGGAAAACACCAGTGAAAGACTTGAATATTATTCTTAACCATTCTCTTTCTTGGTCGAAGCACATCAACGCATTTGCCAAAGTCAGATCTCCTTTTTTGCCCTACGCCTAAGGCGATTATCCATTCTCTCCCACCTGATAGAACAACTTGCTCTCACCTTACTGGCTCCATGCTTTCCTAGTGATTTCCTCTAGTTTATCACATGTGATATCTAAGTCATTCAGGCATTCATCCATGTGTTGTGTTTTACCAAAAACTCGTTTACTCCACCCCGTAGTCTCCCAACACACCAAAACCGTGATAAACTGGCTCACAAATTGCTGTCTGACTCCTGACACCCACTTAACTCCGTCTTATCTAAATGTATTTCAATCTCTTCTACTCGCTCCATGCACAAACACGTTCAAACAAGCACAGAAGTATAGTACTCTGCCACCCGGACCATATTTTGCATGATTTGTTCATAGCCTTGAGTTTACTCTGCAAAGTTAATGTATTTTCCCATATATCTTCATTTTTGTGGAGTATTTTTCAGCTGAATTTGCGTCAAATCGTGTAATAAATTTTTTTTATTTGATTTGACTTGACCGGATCAGTGATCCTTATTCAAGCGACAGAGGTGAATAAGTCCATTCCTCACATTCTCCATTTGCCTTCAAAACACTAATCTATCAATTATCTTTGGGAATACCTTTGAGAATAGGATACCATCATGCGCATGCAACTCCTGCGCTTTGGACGTTGCTATTTTGGTTTTCTACCGAGCGGTCGCTTTTCGTTACCCAATCAATTGGGCGACCTCGTCCTGAGCTGCCTGCGAAAATCTTATCACATTTATCCATTCACTCTTTCAACCACACACACATGCACACGCGCACAAACATCAGTTCACACCTAAACGCATGTGTGAGAATATGCATTGCAAGCACGTAGGCCCACCAACCAACCGACCATGTCAAGCATCTCAAATAAACGTAGATACCAGGAGTTTGGTGTGTGTGTGTGTGGGGGGGGGGAGAGTTCAGCGGACTCTTTTTGTACTGTTTCGAAGTCGATGGTTTATGTAAAATACCATCCGAATCGGTCGGCTACCGACTATTTGCTTGTCTCTTCATCCACTTTGTCAGCTATCATTTACGACAAAAGGTGGTTTGTTAACCCAGAATCGATAGTAAAAGGAGGTGGATACGAGTGGGCTTATTTTTGAGTCAGTCGTGAATAGAGAATTGCTTGGATGCGCTGTTGATTGTTTTGTGATGAGTATGGTTGGCGCTATTGACTAAGGAGTACCAATTGAGTAAACTGTCAACTTTACTGCACGCAATTTATATGTTCAGAGCCCAAAAGAAGTCAAAAAATTAAACAGCACTAATGCAATCCGAATGCACCATTTCCGACTGTATGTGATAGCGAATTGCATTGCTTGACCATGGTGGCCTGAGGGTTATAGCTATCCCAATTGGGGTGATTTACACCCTCGGCAGAATTCCCGTATGCGATGAGCCCCGAATTTCTTATGATTGTCGATAGGCTCATAATTATTCTAGCGCGACTAACTCATTCCCTCTGACCAACTAATCAAGTAAGAAGCTTTTACCGGCTCTATACCAATTCCCTTCATAGGTACCCAGGTTCCAAATGTGTTCTATTTTATAGAATCAAACCCAATTTTTTTCACATCCGTCCATTTTTTATCTTCACCCTTCCGAGTCTTTTTCTCATTCGGTTTGTTGCTGTCTGCTTTATTGTACCAGACATTGCTTATGGCTGTGCTCCAACTGCTTTGAACTGGTTATCGTGACACCATAACGTATTGTAGAGATAATTTGTGAAAATCTGGGTTACTTTGTGGTGTTGCATTACCTCTGCCATCCTCTCGCCCACCAATTCCCATCCACCGTAATTCCAATGCACTAAGATAACAAAACCGGTACAACACAAACTCAGCACGGACCTGATTGTTGAACTTCATTTATCTGATGCATTAGACCGCTTGGAAATTCGTATCCCAGTGATACTGACTTAGGCTTGGTTTCAAACTATTTGGTATTCGATCAAAGGAACAAATTTATTGCGAAAATTCGGACGATGACGTATAAATGTTCGGACATCAAAATGTACAAAGTTACCCCTCTACATTATTGCATAAAGCATAGTCGAATTTGACTCAGGTCAAATCATGAATTCGAGCCACCACTATAATCTAAGTTATTATCATTGTTATTGCTATCGTTTACCAGTTAACTCTCGAGTTACTGCAACCCGTACTAAAATCAGAACCTTATCCCAATGAGTTTTTTAAATAGCAGACGTCCTAACTATTGCCTCGGGTAATAGGGACCAGTGTTTTTATCATTAACGGACCAAAATTGAACGTCTCTCAAGAAGTATTCATAAGAAGTTCAAATTAATCTTGAGTTGTGTTCTTAGCATCATTTTATGCCGATGATTTATCCCCGTGGTCCCCTCATCAAGTGCTTGAGAGGGCGAACCTCTCAGATGGGCAATAGTTGAAGTTGGTGTGGTTTCTCAGTATGACGTAACACAAGTTAAGTTGCTTAGCCATTGAAAATGTTTTTTGGCTCAAATTTTAAACACTTCAGTAGCCGCGATAGGATTTAACTCACTCATGAACGCCGCCTAAACGTTTGCACAACACACACTAACAGCTGAGTTAGCTTTGTTTTATTAGCTAAAGACTGGCCAATCATGATTTCCAAAGAGCTCAGTCCTATTTGATCCGGATCTAGCATCACCCCTTCCTCACTTCAGAGGTTTGTACAACGTTCAACCGTGGTAAACTTCAAACGATTGCAATTGTGCATTTATTCAACCCTTCAGTGATCGCACGGGTGGTTCTATTTCCGTTTCAGTCCCTCCAACGATCAACTCGTCCACCTCTACCATCTACACGGACTTTCATGTGCCCGAGGAAGTAAATGTAAGTGCTAACGTCCATTCCATGCCTGATCGCTGATCCTACGCTTCTCTCCACTCTCATACTACATTCCACCACCCTCGGTAGCGAATGTCCTGATTCGTGTTCCCCACTTCCCCCTAGTGATCCTAATCACGTCTAAACCCAGTGACCTTTGACCTCATTTTTGACCTTCCTTGTTTTCGGAGTGGACAAGCACCACGATTTGGTCTGTGCTTCCCGATCGCACCCCAAATACCACTCGATAATCAACCAATCAGAAACCATTTTCAGATTTCCTCTGCACGTCACATATTATCAGCACAATGGTCATTGTCATCGCGTTCACACGAACAAGCCGATATCTTTGCCAATATCCAATCTTGTTCGATGAGGATGTGTAAAACAGGTGCATAGTGGTGATTATTTGGGTTCTCGAACAGCTGAATATGCAGATGGAGCTGAAAGGCCCAAGGGTTTTTCTATCGAGAATTGTTCCGACAGTAGAGCGAGCCTCCCGTGGGTTGTTTTAATCGATGGTGCCAAATCTGTTCCATCTCGTGAGGAATCTCGAAGTGCTGAGAACTTCGCCATGGACACTAAGGACGGAAACATGGTGCTTTATTCACACCGAATAAAGCATCAGAGTGAAGTCCGCGTGCTTCAATAAACGGAACAACCAATATTTGTGTGCATGAAATGACTGTCCCCGAAAAATCAACTAACTTTGGCAGCCAGTAGGTCATTCTTCACAATCCGAATTGATCGAATCCACTATATAAGTTACATAAGTGTTGTATAGCGAATTGCTACTGGGGTGGCACACTAGATTGAGCGTACTTACCCTGACCCTGAGCTCAAGACAGTCCTTTTTGTGGTGCGGTGGTGGCCCGACGGTAACGTCATCAAATCACCCCCCCCCTTGGGGATATGTTCGAATCCCACCACCACCGCCTAACTTTCCCCATTGTATGTTGCATGGCAGCCCTTTGATTAGCTGCTTCCTCCTTGCTGAAAATGGTATCTTTGCATAATCAATAAAAGGAAGTAAAAATGAAATAGAAAAAAGAAATGTTATTAACCATACTCTATTTTTGTAATTTCTCAGCAACCAAACCACCGAAATTGCTCAAACTTTTTATGATAATGACAGTTAATTATCGTGTGAAGAAACCAATTGAATTTTGATTTTGACTTAACTAAACTGATAAGTCCTGGTCATGAAGGTTCGAAATTCTATGAGCACAACTCAAGAAAAACGATGAAAACACCCAAATCACTGAAAAAACACAAACAATTATCATCCATGACATAAAAATGACTCCCAGGCATACCATCTGCCAGGTTCCGGATTGTCTCAACTTCGAAATTGTTCCATCTATGAAGGATAACTGTCTTTGATTCGTGCGCACTATGGAACACCTTTCAATGCTCCTAAACGTATTTCGTCAACAGACCTTTTCTGAGGGCTCGCCAATCTATGGGCTTAATGTTGTGGAATCTATGTTTTAGTGTGGTGAGTGCCATGTGTTATGTTGGAAATGTGCGGTTCTCAATAGATTTCCTGGTATCGGGAAGAGAACCTGGTTCAAGGTTTTCACGTATGATTCATGTCTCTGATTTCCTTCGAGAAGCGCCAATCAAAACATTTCATCCGCAAATCTGGCGCCCCGGATCAGAAAACAGCCCTCCCCGCCAAAGGCTTAACGTCAGAAAGCTTACTTGCTCTTACGGAGGTCATACCAGTATTATATGGATACACCAGGACCACCGAGGTTTAACTTTTCTCGTTGCTGAATATCACGCTGTTCCATTCCAAACCTGAGTTAACACGAATTTTACCCCGCTCAACTTGAAAAGCGATATGAGAATGTGTTGTTCATGGTACGGAGTTTATCTTTCTGAATTGCTATTTTGGTTCAGTTCATAGCAGTTGACATCGAAGCGTAATGATTGCTGTAACTTCGACGCAACTGCTACCTGATTTTACGCAGCATGTAAAAAATTGTATTCTATCTCAACCGGAGATCTTTCGTCGAATTTCCCCTTAGTTCTTTGATTTAAATGAAAGTGGGTTTCTCAAGAGTTTGCAAACCACCTGCTGTGCTCGTTGAATTTTTTCATCAAGGTTGCGAATACTTATATCCGGGTGTTTGTAGGCGGACATTCGCTCTTCCAGAACCGTCAACCTTGAACCCCGTACCATTCTTCTGTTTCCCTCAATTGACGGGCTCATGACCATGACCTTGGGACGTGAATATTGTTCAGTAGTGAATAACGGAACTTCGCCCAACAATTCTGACACATGACTAACCCATAATACTTATAGGGTGCACCTTAGTGGCAGCACTTAGAGCGGATTTAATGTTATTCCGTACTTCAAAGCACAAATTGTTTTAGATAAACCAGTTTAGCAAGTTCGTAATTCAAAATTGTTTGGATTCCCTATAGGGTCATCCATTGTCAGCATCATACCGAATTTGAGCATTCTGTGTACTTTGGTTACGGAGAAATTTTGGAATCACAGTAGGTTTGATCATATTTTTGTGTACTAGACGACAGATCTTTGTGTTCAAGGGGATTCACCCATCGGTTTATCATGTGGAATTTTAATTGCTTCTCCATTTATTGTCCGATACTCGGATGAAGCTGATAATATCAATGGAACTTCTTATATAAGATATTTGTCATGGAACAAACTCGTTTGAGGTCCCGGTTTCGATCCTCAATGAGCTTGATGGATGCCCCCCACTAGAGACACCTAGAATGTTAGAAATGATGACACAATACTCTTTTTCTCAAAATGGGTAATATTTTTTGAAAAGGTACCCTAATATGCAGCGAGAAGGGTGCATCTTTTAAGGAATGCATGAATTGACATGAATTGAAATGTAAAAGATTACAAGGATCCTAATGGTAATGGGCCCGAGGTGTCGGTAAATTAAAGAACTACGATGGAGCGATATCAAGGTTTATGGGAACTGTGCTGACATTTATCACCTGGTTATTCAACCAATTTACATCACCTCGAGTATCGTCAAAGTGCATAATCATGATGTTAATAACAATGATAATGATAATTACAATTATAGAGTATTTTTCTTCATATGCTCTTTTCCTATGAAGCTGTTAGCAGAATCATGAGCCCCAGTATCGTTCATGACATTAAATCAAATGGATCAGTAGATTGTTATCGCGGTTTAA